CACAAAACCCAAACCCGTCCCCCCTTTTTAGCCACTGTGAAGAAAATTAACTCTATCCAACTCTATCCCAGCCAAAACCAGCACACTTCCTTCTAATTAGATATTTTACTAACACAGAAGACTATATTGATAGCTGAAGTCTATTATTGCTACTCTAGCTAGCTCATAACAGAAAATATGGTTATAAGGATATCTACCAAGATGACAGAATTACAGCAGACTTCTGGTACCAATACCAATTTGCTCCCTTTTCCTGTATTGATTCTGTTATTCAAGCCAGAGAAAATAAGCTAATACAATTGTAACAGTCATTAAAATTTGCATCTCTAGTACATTTCAGGAATAACACTGATTATAAACTCTTCTTGCTAGTACCTGCTATTCTATAATTGCAGTTGCATATATTGGGGGGAAAAATATCAAAATAATAATAATAAAAAATTCTATCTGCTCTGCTGTTATGTAAAAAAAAAATAACTGAGATGACTTAAGAAAACAAAACATTTCCTATATTTCTCATTTGGCTTAAGTCCAGCAGTAGTACACAATGGGGGGGAAAAAACAACCCAAAATCATCCCATGAAAGCATAAAGTTTAAATTGCTGCATCTATTTATTATTATATTAAGATACTGTAATATTTTAATAATGTAATAATGATATAGCAACTATCCCATAGCAATGTATTAAACTAAACTCTGCACAATAAAGAATATTCAACACCCTTTACTTGCATGAAAAAATCTTTACTTTGCAAGTCTCTCCAACAACAGTGACTTTGGAATATATTATCCATCATCCACTTCATAGCCACCTTACATACCTCTTCTTCTTCAGCTGAACTCCCAGTGCAAGAGAAACGCTGGTCTAACAACACTGATCTGAACTTTGTCAGATTGATACCAGTAGTTGAAAGGAAGAGATGAAGTTTGGAAGCTATGGGTCATTTGGGGAGGTGAGGAAAAGTGCCTTACCTACAGGCATAGGCAACTCTTCAGATCACGATTATTTTCCCACCACAGCT